GTTGTTGAGATTGTTGAAATTCGATTGAGATCATGAACTGATTGATGTCAGACCAACATTGAAAACCTGTAAGCACTGGATGTTATTTTCGTCCTATTGTGGGACTCCCCGGCAGTGCGCATCCACGGTCCGGCTTGCAGGATACGAACCCACGCGCTCACCAGTGATTGACTTCCTGTGGGAATTCTCGGAGTTCTAGTGGGAAGTCGTGACCAGTGGAGCTAATCCGTGTCGGTTAGAGGTAGGTATTTACCACAGTACAATGGTCAATGGTAGCGCAACTTCGTGGTTTGGTTCAAGTTCGACATTAACACTACATTGAATAATCATTACATTGAATTAGAAAGGAAGTCATCTTGAACAAAATTCATAATGAGTAAATCAATCGGAAATTGACTTTTCTTTCCATCATATCATATACAACGAGCTTTGATTGTTCTTTTAAAGAACTGTGAATGTTCCATGACCAAACCATCCAGCTCAGAGAACAAAACTCCACCGAAATCATCCATCTGAACTACAAATCTTCTCCACCATATTAATCATTTATTTCATTTGATTTCTGAGTTTATTCAGTTGATCAAACATCGTAAGTTAAACAATTCATAATAAGAAATTAAGGGAAATGAAGATTTATTAATCCCATCGTATCCAAAACAAACTTAATCTCAAAAAGTAATGTGCAGAAACCATAAACGGTGATCAACGTAATAACCAAAGGCTAATCAACTTCTGAACACCACTTCATAGAATTTTATCTAAGAAGATGAACTACTTTATTAATAATCAGTAGTAGTGAAATGTCATAAAGCATTTTGTTTAAAATAGTTGCTCTGTTTAGCGTGTGTTATATTCACGATGCACTTGTGTCTGTGAAAGACCATTAAAGGTTATGGGAATATCGTCAATTATTGAATAACGTGTATTATTGGTACACGTTTTTAAAACTTATTTTCATCTAGTCAACTTCACATTCTCAGTTCTTAGTTATTTAAAGCCTATACTAAAACACTGATGAGGCCGAAAGATTTAAACAAACAAAAGAAGTATCAAAAAAATCTCAATGGTTAAGATCATGAGTCGGTTGAAGCTAGACCACCATGGAAAACCTGGAAGCGTTGGACCGCCGTTTCGTCGTATTGTGGGACTCCTCAGCAGTGCGCATCCATTGGCTTCAAGATGTATATACTGGAGTTCTAGTGAGAAGCAGTGACCAGTGGAGTTCAACCAGGTCTGTTGTGAGATATTAACTGACTGAAGACAATGGTGGATGTGTCGCTCAATTTTGTGAATTAGTTGAGGTTAGAAATTAACATGGTTGGATGCTGGCCTGCTCAGTGGTCTAGTTGTTAAGTGCTCGCGTGCGAAACCAGTAAGTCCTGGGTTCGGATCTCGCAGGGAGCGAGGTCGTGGATGCACACTGCTGCCGAGTCCCACAATTGGACGAAACGGCCATCCAGTGCTGCCAGGTTTTCCCTGTTGGTCTAGCTTCAACTGGCTCATGATCTTCACTATTGAAATTACTATATTATATCCACAAAACCTGTCTGATTTATCAAGAAAAGTTGTTGCTTTTCTTAAGAGTTATGATTAAAAGTCAGGTTTAAAAGACTTTCATCATTCCAGTGTCATTTAGTAAAGGGTGGACGTTTCTGGTCATGTGGACCCTCACAATACATGTATCTAGCCAGCTTAAATGCAGGGTTGACAGATTTGGTAGATTGTATATTCGCTCTTATAACCTTTATGGAATTCACTACTACTGATTCTAATCAGCTAGTTGATAGTTCTTTGATATTTTCATACTTCTACAAAACAATCTAGATGTAACAGTTGACTGATATTTGGAGAGTACTTTCTGAAAAAAATAGTTGGTTGTTATTCCGTTCTGTATTAGTTGTTTGGATCTTCCCATTGATGTTTACGACTATGATTGATCGGTCTCTTATTGACATCTCTGTTTACAATATGTGTTTACAATGTGTTTTTTTTTCAATTTTTAACCCTGACACAACTTTCACAAATCGACTTGATAAACAGTAATCATGTGCACACTATCGATTATCTTTACTAGATGAATTTCTGAAGTTCCACTGTGATTTCTAGATTTCAACCATGCTGAGAATAAGGACGATACATTTGATGGGATCAGACGAATTTCATGCCAGATTGTGTATTGACTGAAAATAAATGTAAAGATCATTGAAATATTGTTTGGATTCCTAAAACTAGCCTATTAATTGAGACAAATAAAGTTTCTGAATTTCATCTTATGTACATTTATGAATGTTTCCTGATGAAGAGTTGAGAGTCAGATCAAAGCAATGAATTAATATTGTTTAGTTGCTGCAAACGATCCACTAATTAAATTCATTTTATGATGAAAATAGTCTTTCAGTTAAGCAAAGATGAATAGTGGCTAGCAGTGGAATCCGGGAAGCGCGTTTCGTTCTAAACATCGATGCGAACATTCAAGTGAACAATACCAAGTGATCAGAGAGGGATTTTGTGGATAATATAGCAAATTAATGGTTGAATTTATGAGTCATTTGGAGCTAGACTACCATGGAAAACCTGATAGCACTAGTATATATACTAAACGATAAGGATTCGAGTCCCTGAGCGAACATCAACTCTTGGATGTAGGTGAATCCAGCTGACGAGTCTTAAATAGGACGACACGCGCATCAAACTGGATTTCGCTTCTAGTCATTATCCATCCTTGTTTAAAATGCTTGTGACTTAAGGCTATATCGAGACAATCCACACAGGATGCACATATGCCAATAAGAGACTGATCAATTGTAGTCATAAATAAGAATGAGTAGATACAAGTAATCAATAAAATGAACGTAACTAAAGAAGAACAGTAAATCGTATGATAATAGTCTATAGATGAAAATGAATCTTATAATAAGAGGAATATAAATATACGCAATCTAATTACTGAATAGTGAAACAATACAAATATATGTCTAGCATTATTTCATTGAAATAATCTGTTTCAGATGCCGATTAACTTGCGAAATTCAACCAACTATTTATAAATACTTGTACTTTTTGACGACGTTCGACCACTATGAGCAGCCCAATGTCCTTATCGGAATGCGGCCCCTTCTCCACCATTGTAAAAATATATTACTTAAATTTTTAAAAAAAAATTAACAAATAGATCTGTAACACAAATCGACTGAATTTTCCCCTCTTTTTATTATTTTTAATTCCTAGTCAAAGGAAGATATGAAAAGGATGTATAACAACTGGAAAGAATTGAAGAGGGTTGGTTAGAACAAAGTTGAATGGAGAGTGTTGGTTGGCGGCCTATGCTCGCTCCTTCACGAGGAGTAACAGGGGTAAATAGTCAAATATTGGCATAAATCATTGAGGATCTTAAAATAAAGTCATTTCAAATTGTTGCTCCATACAGTTATTGTGTGATAAAAGTATTTTGATTGATTATTAGTATTATTACTTTATTGAGTATCTTCAACTTCTGTGAATAAGCTAATATGTATGGATTATTAAATGTCAGTTTCAGTTTAAACGTACATGATTATAGCAGAAGACAAAATACGAAGATTGTTATATTCTAATGAAGATTAAACTATGGGTAACTTCTGTCAACTAATAATGGACTAATGCTATACATATATACTTACTATATAACTATTCAGTAATTAGATTGTGTGTATTCATATTCCTCTTATTATAAGCCTCATTGTGATCTATAGACTATTATGATATGATTGACTGTTCTTAAGTTATACTCAGTTTATTGATTAGACGTTATTCCATCTGACTGGTCACAATCACTTATCGTCCCAATATATAAGAGAGAGTCAAAATCATCCTGTGACAACCATAGAGGGATTAGTTTAACTAATATAGTATCTAAAATACTAGCCTCGATAATTAGCAGACGCCTAACCAAGACTCGTGAACTGCAAACACGAGAGAATCAAGCTGGCTTCAGACCAGGTTGTGGCTGCCTCGACCACATATTTACCATTCTTCTGTGGGAGGGAACAAACCAGCTTCCAGCTGAGTAGGAAATTAGGAAACGACGATGGAAATGGATAGATCATGCGTTATGGACATCAGCAAACTGCATCACGAGGCAAGTCCTAACGTGCAACCCTGAATGGAAACAGAAATGAGGGAGACCGAAGAACACAGTACATCGAGAATTGGAAGAAGACTTGAAAAGGATTGTCTAGGATAGCGTTTGATGGAAAGTACTATTAGGCGTCCTATATTCCTCCATAAGGAATAACAAGCACAAATAAATAGTGAGTTACAAATCTTCTCCACTATCTTAAAACCATTTAGTCGTCAAAGAATTTTCAATCAAATTGATTAACTGATTATATTTACCAATAAAATCTATTCGTTAATTTGACTATCATTTTATACATAAACTATATCCAATCATCAATTTAGGAAAATAGATTTTAACTCTTTGACCAATCATGAACACTATGCCAAAAACAAGTCAGACCCAAATTTTAGTTGTCCCTTAGATGATGAACGCGCTTAGGTATGCACGTCCGTAAGGTATGTCAGTCCGTTACAGATCCACATATATATATCCATCCATCGATCTATATATCTGTGGAAAATACAAGCATTGGCTTTTATTAGATGTTCATATAGAGTCAACTATTATAGGTTCTATTTACCAGATCTACATCTATATTTAGGCATAATGTTTATAAACAAAACAGTGAACCCAGTATTATTAGGATACATATATCCCTATATCTATATAGAATGTTCTACTTCAAAATGGATAGATATAACACATTATAACTGATAAACTATCGACAGTATCCTCCTCCTCCTCCTCCTCATCCTCATCATCATCAGTATTATTCTTGTTTCTACATAGATGTAAATAGATCTTTTCTTTTTTTCTTTCTTTTTGAGGGCGGCAGGGTTGTGAATGTAACTTTTTTTCTCTTCTTAAATGTTCCATCATCGAATTGAAAAAAACAAACAAAATGAGTATGATCCAACATTTTCATAAAAGATCCGATTTGATTAGGATCATTCTATCGATTATAATGATTTGGTGTATGATTATGTTAATGGATTTATCCAATGGTCATTTATTGATAAAAGAAGAAAAAATTTTACGGAAATTAGTCAATTTGATTCATGCCACAACAACAAATGATTTCAATCTGTGTACAATTCATTCACGTCAATTACAATATTTATTATATACTACTTATAATACTACTACTACTACTACTACTACTACTACTACTCATTATAATGATATTCCATTAGCAGCAGGAGCAGGAACAGGAGCGTCGTCAGCATCATCGGCAGAAGGATCAGGATCATCAACAATGATTAATTTAAATGAAACATTCTATCCAATATTTCATCATTTAATCACACAAAACTCTTTAACACAAAATTGCTTGCATGATATATATAGATCTATACAGATTATGAGAAATTTCAATCGTTGGCATAGCAACAACCACTACCACGACAACCACAACCCCAACAACAATAATCATGATACCAGGAAACAATTAGAAGTCTATTTATTTCGTTTATTACAATTAAATCAACCAATTGAATTTTATAATATGGAATTATTCAATAATTTCATCACTATGAATGATGATTATGATGATCAAAAATCCAATTTAATTGGTATTGGTTATTGTTTCAATGGGATATTAATGGCTTATGTCAATAATTATACTACTACTACTACTAATAGTAGTATTAGTAGTGATTCCTCTGATCGTAATTCTATATGTAGTCAATTTGTATTGAATATAGAATTATTTGATAATAATAATGAGACTATAGGGTTTAATGATTATGAATATGGAGAATTTTCACCCATTTGGGCACCAATTCAATGTGAATCTAATTCAATCATATCAATAGTTTTACGATATTTTATTGATACAAAAGAAAAAAGGCAAGTTTTTCTTTTCCTTCTTTTTCTTTTAGGTGATTTAATCCGATTTGAGTTTTCAGCTAGTGGTAACAATCAATCTGTTTAAATGAATGTAATGTCTAGGAGTAAAGTGTGTTACTCTGGTTTCTACCAATGGAGCATAGGCTGCAGACCAGCATTCTCCAATCCATTCTGTTCACGGTCTTCCTTTCTAGTTCCATTCAATTTTCGCTTATTTTTCTCATGTTTATCTCCATTTCTCGGCGTAATGTATTCTTTAGTCTTCCTCTTCTCCTCTTTTTTGCTTTGAGGATTCCATGTGAGGGCTCGCCATGTGATACAGTTGGGTGCTTTCCTCAATGTGTATCCTATCCACTTCCAGTGCCTATCCATGATTTCTTCCTCCGCTGGGATCTGCTTTATTCTCCTATAATAGGTTGTTGTTGATAGTGTCTGGCCAACGGATCTGAAGGATTATGTATTGACCACGACCAAACTATCGAGCTCAGAGAACAAAACTCCATCAAAGACAATTACTCATCAACATATACATTGAACATTGATGTGGATATTGAATTGGACTAATTACTTGGTTTACGGTTGGGAATCTTTAAGTCTTGGCACAAAGCGAATATTATCCGGCCTGGCTCTTGAAAGGAGAACGAAGAAACAATCACCAGTTCGATACGGGAGCACTTAATCAACCGTGGACATATCGCTCCAAAAGACTCTTCGTTTAAGATAGTTTACAGAGTCAAAGGAACTGGGTCGAAGGGTGTTCGAATCAATATTTTATGCACCGCATAAGTTGGTAGATGTTCACACTTGGTACATAAAGGGCCAGATAAAATCAATTCGCAGTTCTATCTTGGCACATCTCATTGATAGCGGTCATGCTGTAGATAAATCGGGAACATTTCGAGTGATCTATCGTATACCTCCATCATTTCCCAACGGAGTTTGTTCCCGCCTCCTACATATAGCTGAAGCCATAGGAATTTGTACATATAACCCCAATTTATGTGTACAGAAGAAATTCGTAACCCCCCTATTCCTTCCATGGCTAGTTATAACTTAACAAACAAATTTTCCGCCTCATTCCGTTTGTATTCTTCACTATCTAATTATTTACACACTTCTCATTACGTAATGATTCTAGTGTTTTAGTGTTGACTAGTCCACGTTTGTTTGACCTTCTATTGCCAACGTTTAACTATTGATAAGAGTTTTGTGATCATCTTTTATTATTCTCACTACGATCAGTTCACATGTCTTCCCAATACTATCAACTTGTACTATTACCTATTTCATGTGTAGTGACTTATTCTATTTCATTGTGATGATTGACCCATATTGCCTTGATTGATTTAAAAATTTCATAATAAATATTCATGTATATTAGAGTAAAGCCTGATGACGATCTTTATTGAAAACAATATTGTTCGCTTATATGTGTTGTTCTAATTTTCCCGATGGGAATCTTTGATATTATCTGAGCCAGAAATTTGGTTCTTCCTTACCGCTTGATTAGTACGTTAACCTCATTTGTTATTTATTGTCTAATCCATTTTTGTTTTGTGTGTGTGATACAATCCTTTCTATCCTTCTATAGATATACATTTTCCATATCTAACTATATATACGAATGTACAGCTTGAGTAAATGATTTCGTCGAAAAGTAAAAGATTTTCTCCGCTGAATTCTCTTTTTCTTATTCAATTGATTTATTCATGTCATTATGAATTAAACACTAAAATGAGTACACTGACACATACACATGTATCGAGGCAGAGTTTTTTTGTTGTTGCACAAATCAACTCCTAATTTACTGACGGGAACGTAACAGTCAGTCACTCGAGTATAGGATATGTCTCCGTGAATTCTAAACACATTTACTTTTCAGCGTTCATTTTGTGTATGGCATCGATCATGTTTTTTCATTCATTTTATAGGTGGGTGATACATGTAAAAGTATAGCTTTCATTGAGGATTTCATTTTAAGCCGTAACATTCCCTTTATTGGCTTGTAGCGGTAAATAAATCTCCAAAATAAATAGCTCTGTAAGTTTTTCACAATGGATGCTGACCATATGTTTTAGCGGACTCATCTAGCTGAAGGCGCTCGGTCATGCGTCCGCATTAGATCACGTGTGGAAACGCCGTGCTCAACATCTACCGCAATCGCTAACCAGATTAGATCAGAGAATTCAGATATATTGGTTATCGCCAAATACACTCTTCCGATCTCCTAGACTCTGTCTTTTGATTTCTCTTGGTGGATACGAATCATATTAGAAGGTGTTGCTGGTAAAAGCGGTGTCAAACACTGAATACCTGTGCCATCGTCAGGCTTTTTCATCCGAAAGTTGGGATGTGTTACAATGGCATGTTCATAGAAGACTTAGATAGCAATTAGATGGTTGGAATGAAATTCTGAATAGAAATCATGCTCTTATATACAACTCTCAGCTACTAAATCAATGTTAAAATGCTCGATAATGTTGGGTAGTTCACTTTCATTCAATCTCATACATCAGTTGTCATAAATAAATTTTTCATTTAATTTCATAATCATTATCCTTGTTAGTGAAAAAAGAAAAAAAGATTTTGAAAATTGTCATCTAATGAAACGACAATGGAAACAATGAAAACAACTGATTAAGGAATTAGCTTATTGATTATGTCACCAAATTGTAGTTACTAAGTCATTTTGTATATTTACAGTGTTGAACAGAATGATCAAATGACTGACAGATAAATAAACATCATTTTATATGTAAACCATTTTGACGACGACAACAACAACAAAAACACACACTTATGATTCATTTCATTGAACTGAACGAGAAAGAAAAAAAAACAATTCACATTTAAGATACAACCAATGTTATTAGAGAGAATTCCCTCTTTGCATTTGTTACATGATGACTACAGATCAAGGGGAAAGTTGAAAAAATTCATAGACCTGATATGTACTTCATTTAGATCGGTTACGATATGGCATATAGTAACAATAGCCATAACACAGGAGTTGTAGAACAAAATTGACTCAGTAATTCCGTACTTAAGAAGGCGTAGTTAAATTAATAATCAACAATTTATAGCTACCGATCGATAGTGGTAAACTTTTTCTAGCACTACATTCTGACTCATACTGATACATAGTTTAAACAGTCCTATTATACAATTTATTTTGTCATTCGTCTGATTAACACGAAGCAAGTCTTCATTTTAATGTATGAGAATACGAGGATTTTTTATAAATATTAGCTCATTACAGTCGTAAACTAACTGTTGTCCCTTGATACTTGGGCGGTTCAATCAAGAATAGGTTACTGGTAACTCATTACATACTTGAATATAAAGTACACACAAAGTATGGACGCTAATAATATAATTATTATGATCAGAATGGGGGATTTGTGGAGATTGTAGTAGTTTTAATAGTTGAATTCATGAGTCGATTTAACCCAGACCACCACTGACAACCTGGAAGCACTGGAGTCTAATCCGTGTCGGATAGAGACAGGTATCTACCTCAGACAATGGATGAATAGTTGCGTAAGAGTATGGATCGATTGAAGTTAAACATTAACACCGTTGGATACCGACCAGCTTAGTGATCTAGTGGTTAGGCGATTGCGCGTGAGCCCGAAAGTTCTGCATTGGAATCTCGTATGCTACGATGAAACGTTCGTTCAGTGCTTCCACGTTTTCAATGGTGATTTACCTTACATCGACTCATGGATTCAACTATTAAAATTTGATTATTATCAATACATTGAATGAAACTAATTATTTTGTTTGCATTTAATGAGAAAGAGACAGCTTCGTTCATTTGAGATCTGACAAGATTAAAAAATATCTTTCCATTATATTTCATTTATGATTACGTGTAATGTTCTGCTATGGTACTACCATTGAATATATATGTGTACATTAGAGGTCGATAATTGATTTCTTACAATGGATATAAATGAAAAAAACAATCATGAAATAAGTTAGAGAAATTAAAACAGTCGATTGATCACTGAGCAGTGAGCAACTTCATGTCTGCAATGTCCTTCTCAGTGCTGATTGAATTCTATTGATCAAGTTAAAATGTGATAAGTAGTCTAAGTGACCTGATATCTCATGAACTATGTTAACATTTTAAGCGGTTGGAGCTAGTCGATAGGAAACTCTGCTGTTTGGCACTTTATGCTATGTCATATATATTCATTTTTGAGATCATTACTATTTAAATGACTTTTACAAAAACTAACAATACAATTCCTGGTTGACCGTTTTATCGCTCTACAGTTACAATATTTTCCTACTTTAGCCCCTAAATGCCCTGGTATGGTCGAGAGTGGAGAGAGTCAAATCTCCCTCTCGAAGTGGCCACGCGTATACAGTCACTGACAGGGAAGTCCTACTCACTGCCTTCTCACACTAGGGATGTTGTTTACGAAGTTGAGAGGATGAAAAGCAAATTTACGGGACTTTGCCGGGTTAGTGGATATGGAGGATCTACCTAGGGGAGTTTGAAAATCCTGATTCCAAACCAAAGGTGCACATGGGCTCCAGTATCCTGAAGGAACGAATGGAGTGTGAACCTAATGTTAGTCATCGGCTACCATGGGATTGCATCTCTCGACATTGCTCCACTGCCTTGTTGATTAGACCTTTAGGTCGAAGGCTCCGGGTGTGGCCCCATATGAAAATCATCTACTTCGGTCTGAGCACCCGGGTACTATCCCAGCCCCCACATAAATCATTCGATTTATGTGGCGCATATGTATTTGGTGCCTCCTTATACCAATGTTTATGTGTTTATATAAATAAAATAACTTCAATAGGAAGGAGTTTTAACTAATGGACTATCTTGGATCGACCGTATTTGTACTAATCATACTGTTGTGGATTACGTGAAGCTACTAAACAGACCATTGACAGTAAATGGTAATCCTTTGAAAATTTATGAATCAGTGGAAAGGTCACAGTGTATTGAGATATATTAGATTTCTGTCACCGAAATCCCCTGTCACATCAGATCATTCTATCATTCACAGGTTAATCAAACTACCTTATGTTTAAACAAAAGCTTAAATCAGCTGTTTGTGGCTGTTAATTATCGCTATAGAAACAAGGTATATGCTTCATCACAGTCCTAACCGGTAAATAGACAAGGATCTTTGAACATGTACCCAAAATAATTAAAGGAACAAATGAAATCAGATGACCCATCTAGAGCAGATGATAAACATCTATCTTTCTCTTTATTAAACACCTAATCTTTCATTTGTCGTATTGACCTTTTATATTTCATAAATAAATATTCTTAACAAGTTTGATTCACTTAATATTGTTTTACTTGTACCTTCCCATTGATGTTTGGAACTGAAATTGATCAGCCTCATGTTGTCATATGTGCATACTGTGCGTATTGCCTCGATATTGCTTTAATTTACAAGCATTATAAGCAAGGATGGATAGTGACTAGTAGTGGGATCCAGGACGCGCGTTTCGTCCTATGTCCTATGCATCTCAGAGTTGTTGTTCACTCTGGGACAGGTATATGTGCGGTCAGATTGTGTTTGAAAAGTTTTACGCCAATATATCATGTAGTTCTGGCAATCTTAGTTTTCTCAATACATCAACCACATAAAATATTAGGTAAATGTAAGTCACTTCATAAAAACACAGATTTATTGAAATTCAACACCAACATGTATATGGAGAGGACAAACAAGGATAGTGAATAGCCATTATCAGTTGGTTGGTTTATGACCTTCAGTACAATGAACCAACTTAACTAACCTATTCTAGTAGGTCCCCTAGCATAACATGATCAAGAGTATTTAAAATAAGAAATCTAGTCAACATCCTGATTTTCAGCAATAAACTATCTGCAATTCCACCATTATAACTTCGCTCCGATTTGATTGTTCACTCAAAGCTGTCCATATTTTGCTCTTTGCTTACTTTATTGACTGATAGTCCCTTTTAATAATGAAGTACACTTTGTGAAATGATTATCTAAACAATTTAGCAAGTTTGAGGTAGACGAACATGGCAAATTATGCTAAGATAATGTGATATGATTGAGAAGTAATGCAAACTGTGATTGGATATTATTAGATTAAAAATAAGCTGTGTCACTCCCCAAGAAAAAGTCATTTTGAAATGATTCTGTAAGAAGCTTAATCGGTGAATAATTAAACCAAAATTATCTTCTTAAATCATTATGTATCCACAGTTTAAGCCACGAAACGACTAAAGTTAAATAACCATTGAAAACTTGAAACTACTCGATACCTGTCATGGCCTAGCGTGGGACTTTCTTGAAGTGTCTACCCACCAATTCACCATTGGGGATCGAACTCACGGTTCGCCATCTCTCACCTGTAAACCAATGAGCCTGTAAAGGTGACGCCAATTCTATCACTTGTGATGGATAACTAACTCGTTTCTTACAATTTAAGAATATTCGTTAAGCTAAATTAAAGACATAATAATAGTACATTTCAGAAAACGTTTACTGTCTATCTAGATATAACTTTATAGCAATAACTTATAACAAAATTTGTTCAGTTTGATTTCGTGGGCACCCATACTACTGAAATCCAGAAAAAAGAAAAATTAATTGCACATATGTGTATACAAGTTCACTTGGAATTCTCAAGGCCAACGAAGAAGAGGAAGACCAAAGGACACATTACTCCGAGAAAATAAAGCAGACATGAAAAGAATGAACTAGAAAAGAAGGCCC